AAAGTAGAAAATATCTGTACCTTACATTATTTTAGATCATCTTTGTGTGTGTTAAATTAGTGTTACTGGAAGGAGATATTTTAGCATATAAAAGGAAATTATTGGGTTAACACATAAGGTCTTGTCATTCACAAGCTCTTATTAATGTTAGATACTCAATTCATGCATCATTTAAAATTAAGTCATTATGCATATGATAAGAATCAGATGGTACAATTGAAATCAAACAATGGGAAATTCATTGTTAAAATAATGTTGGATTTTTTTTTGTTTGTTTTCTTATGCATACAGGTGAAAGATACAGGAGATATTGAGGTATTGAAGAACTGGTGAGTGTTGCTTTTACTTTTGTTTAATAAATACCCGTTCAGTTTTCAACATTTTCACTAGTAATTACTTTATAAAATTGTTCTTTTTTCAACAGACTTGACTGTCCCATCTTATTAAGAGTCTTAAGTGAAAGCCCTGTATTGAGAATATGAGCATATTTGATTATGATGCAGTTTTGGCCCACAACCCTGCACATGTGAATCCATTGTTCCACACATTGCAAATAATATCAAATAATTAAATTTAATAATTCAAAATGTATTTAATTTAAAGTGGATAAACAATAAATTAAGATGAAAGTATTGTCAGGGTGGGGCTGCTTGTCTCTTTGTTTAGCTGCAAGTTGGAGGCAAGGGTGATAGAATATCCAACAATGAAATAACTTGAAAAATGTTTAATACATTGTGTACTGCAACTTCTAAAGGTATTAGGACAGCAAGAAAAAAGCTGTTTCTCTTTAAAGTCATATTTGTGATTATGAGATTAATATGAATGATAAGCATAATATAATACAGTATATGTTTTATTTTTTCATAAAAGTCCATGATGTGACCTTCACCGTGCTTCACAGATGTCAAAGCCTAGAATGCATCACCACCTCTGGAACTGTCTCACTCATCTTTATAGATGATGTAACTTATGCTTGCTGCAACAGGAAGAGTTATGATATTTACAGAAATATTTTGCCTGTACAGTATATGTAGGAGAAAATACTTCTCATATTTTTTCCTTAATGATCCATATCATACCCAACCAAGCACCATGAAAATATTCCAAAATATATGATTAATTCAACCAAAGAATTCTTTAGGAGAAAAAGAGGATTAAGGAGTAGCCAATGAAGTAAAGACACTGCATGTTATTCCAAATGACCACACATTTTACATATTGAAAAATATCACCCCTAATCTAGGCTAGAACTCAAACTGTCTGCAGCAAAGTCTTTGAAAAGAGCCTTCAATGATTATCTAAAAACTTCAGTCTAAAGACTTCAGTGAATTCAGTGGGATGCACCCTTCATGCAGTTCTTGCCTCAATAGGATCTGCAGCCATACACAGTACTAACTTATTCTGAAATTTACCAAAAGTGACTATATCTTAATACTCTTAATTGAAATCAAATCACGGGATTAAATTGAAGGTGTGTTGTTCTAATATGATGAAACATATGACTTACCCAAAAAACAGTATATGTGCCATTCATATTATTATCATGATCACAAGTACAAATAGGTTAACTGTAAAATAAACAGTTTTGACATTGCTGTTTAAGTACTTGTAGAGGGCACTGTATGTAAGAATTTTCAACTGATCGATATTGCTACCATTCTACTTGAAATAGATTCCTTGCTGCTCTACTGTTGAGCTGATGCAACTTTGGTGGTTTAACAGCACAATGGAAGAATATGTACAGTATGGTATTAAACATCTTAATTTTATTATTATCATTAATAATTATTTATTTGAAAGCATAAGTATAAACCTTAGTTCTCCATATATTAAATATTGTACTAGTTCAGCATTTTTTCTTTTACAGGTGTGGGATATGGATATGACTACTCCACTAAGAATCTAAAAATCATGTGACATCTGGAAATCTTTCTTGCTTTGCCTGGATACAGTGATTTTACTCTGATTATTTCGAAACATGTTTTTATTATTTACTGTAATTCTGAAATACACCTCTTTACTCATGGTTATTGGACATTTGATTTAACAGCTGTATCTTTTCAAATATATTTTCAAAAAACAAAAACTAATTTCCTATGCTATTTTAAAGTTTATTTTTTCATTTGATGCTGAGTAATATTTCTTTACAATAATAATCTTGATCTTTTATGGAAGATGTCTCCTCTTCTGCATGAAAATTTGTAGCGACAAACTTGGACTCAAACAATATATTTAGTTCTATACACGTATTGGTCATATTGACAGCCGAACAAAGCATTTTCAAACCAAAGGCAATAATTGCATCTCTTACGTGATAGAATTGTAGTGATCTGGAACTGCAGTTGAAAAATAATCCAAGGTCATGGTATAAAAACAAGCTGGGAGCCACAGAGTCAAAGCCTAAACAAACAATGTGCCAAAGAAAATCAAAAACAAGGTTATACCAAACACATTCCCAAAACCAGAAACAAAACACAGTCAAAGGGGAAATCCAAGTATGAAGTTGAAACCAAGAAATTTCAGTAACAAGGTGAGTGTACACAAACAAACACCAGGATCAATGAGACTGGGCATGCACATGTCATAGATGCTGGCCTTAAATAACCCAGTTAAGGACCAATAGTATTGATTTCCATGCTGATCTGGTCATCACGGCATCAGGTTGAGTGACAGGTCAGCTGGTAGTAATGGTAGTGTAACAGTATTTTGGCCAGACCAAGCATGACAAAAGGTTGCTGTAATTTTTAGTAACAATTTGCAGCTGCATTGAAATACAGTATATAGTAATGCTTAAATACTCTGTAGTTCCAAAAAAAGGAGGTACACTTTCTGGTCACCACCAGGTGAGGAAACAACACATCTCTAAATATTGGGACTCTTACAATATAAAGTGAATGGATAAAACAGTAGACCCCAACATGGGCAATTGTCCCTTCAGGACTACAGATGAAGTCTTGTGGAAAAGATCTCAGGAGCAGTGGACACTACCATCATGCTATGAATAAAATAGAAAGCAGTGCTAGTTTATCTCTCTGTGTCCTGAGGATTGCCATCTGTCTGGGCCAATGTCAACCTCATGTAGTGTGCAGTTAGACAAGCTACTTTACTTGGAAGTAGCTTCACTTAGGTAAGTGTAAGAAGCCGACTATTATATAAATACAGGGACACTCTATAAGCCAATCCAGAATATTATAGAATCAAAAGGAAATCTCCTTCTTTAAAGCCCTTAATACACACATTTTTCAAATACAGTATACGTATCCTATTTCTTTCACAGTCTTTATTTTCTTACTATCCAACTTCAATGAGGAAAACAGCTCTAATGCAATGAAAGGTTCTTGAAACCAAAAGCCTAGAACTGTTCTGCAATTTTATACAATTTTATACCACAAAACACCTCATATTTGCCAACAACTTGCTTCATAACCCAGAAAATAATCTAACAATCCTTATTTTGCTCACTGGAAAATGCAGCTTCTTCCTCCCTTTTCCAGTGGAAAGACTCCAGTCTTTATTAAATAAGCTTACAGTGCCATAACGCTGTAAAGGTGTGGGGTGTGTGCAACTGTAGTGGCTGTGGACCATGCCTCCTCCCTCCTGCCTATACTGCACCGGTTTCTGAGGAGATAATATAAATGTACACATAGCACCTGAATGCAATGAGAAATCAGTCTGCAGCAGGTGATACAGATTATGTAAATCCTGTCCAGCCTCCTTAGGAGTCCTGCATTACGTTGTCAGGCCTTCTTATGCCCTGTGCCAACTACCAGCAGTTTCCCAGTGGAATTCTCCCTGCCTTCATCTTTCCCATCTGCTCATGCTTCACTGGGCCTGCCTGAGCTTTCCCTGTTGCCTGCCTGTGTCCTGACCCACCAAGATTCCACCTTGGGAGCCCATCCTTTGCTGTGCTTTCCTCCACAGCTGCCAGCTCTGGTAGTCTTCCCCTTTCTGCACTCTAGCCCTGTGTTCTGCCAGCCACACAGTCCAGCGCTGCACTTTCCACAGGATTCTGCTGCTTCAGCCTGCCAGCTTTCCTGCATTTCCTGTGTAGTGCATGGGACTTTCCAATGGACCTGGACTTCAGTGGGCACCTCCCCATTCTTCCCTGACAGTGAGTGCTTGGCCTGGTCTCTGGAGGAGTACCCACTGTGAAGAACATGTGCACTGCTCAGTGCAATACCTGGTACATCTCCCGAAGGTCTTCCCCGATTACATGCACCCTGTCCTGCCTGGCTCCAGGTGCAGAATGGCCAGCCATCCCTGGTCTCGCTTTCTGCACGGCCCTGTGAAGCAGAGTCCATTCTGAAGTGTGCCATCCACTACCCTTGGACTGTGACACCCTTGCTCTTGGGTCCTGACACTTCCTTGCCTGCCCAAGCCATTCTGGTGGGCGGCGCACAATAACATATAGAGGGTAAATTTTTCTTAATGTTCTTGGCCCAAAACACAATCACCAGAAACACAAAACTCTGGAGATTCCATCAACACTACTAGTACGCTGGGCAAACGTTCCGAGGTCAAATTCTTCCAGCACAGGGGTACCTTT